TCGAACTCATGACTGCCTGCTTGCAAGGCAAGCTTTTTTGTATTCTTAAAGGAAGGCACATTATAGATAAGTGAACTAAAAAGAGGAAACAGGGCAAATGGCAGCTAGCATATCTCAAGTCTAGATACTGCAGTCACCAGTTTTCCCTACAGTAGATGCACACTGTTCATGAATTACAAACAGGAACAAAGAACATTTTGGATGTGTGTAACTCCAAGTGGGTCCTTATCAGCTCTCCATAAACTCCAAGTGGGTCCTTATCAGCTCTCTATGTCCATGATCTTATTCATTTATTTAATTATTTATCTTTGTTTTTTTGAGATGGGTCTCAGTATACAGTTCAGGTTGGTTTTGCACTCAGTATGTAGGGCAGGCTGGCCTCAAACTTGTAGCTATCCTGCCTCAGTCTCCCCAGGACTGGAATTATAGGCAAGCACCACCATGCCCTGCTTGTCCATGTTTTAGACCAATAGGTCATGCCTCTTTTTTCATGTCCAGTATTTTTCAACTCCTACTTTACTGTGCTGGCATATAATTAACACAAAACACATTTGCATACAAAATTTCAAGAAAATCGATACAATGTTCAAAGTCTATATAAAAGAGAGAGAAAAAGAAAGCAATTTATACAATGTACAGTATCAGAACCCTGTAAAATGCAAAACCCTGGAGATGACTCCACCAGAGACAAAATGAGAGACTCACAAGCTTATATATCTGTACTGCAGAGTTGCACAGAATCCCGATTACACATGCAGGTTAAGTCAGCTCTGTGGGCACTGGTTATCAGGATTTTCTACATGTGAAGTACTTCAAATTAAGAGCAAAACAAAATATAATTTTCCTTCAGTTTGCATATAGTTGCATTCTTGCAAAGCTCAGAATATATTAAAACTGTGGGTAACAGTATCTCATGTGTGCACATACACAGTTTGGTTTTAGGCTTAGGTATGTGAACTGGTCTTTCACCTATGGAGAATATTAGAAAATTGTTGGTGGGAGGTAATCGTTCACTATGCATGACTAACCTCCACTGCTGACAGGTAGCATCAAAGGGACACATCAGGAGGAAATTCTTACCCACAAAGACGAAATTCTCCCCTTCATGTTTCCAAAACTCCCTCTAGGGGGCAGTACTGTCCTTAACGAGAAGTTGTATGCTTAACAGCTCAAACTAAAGATGGCAGTGTGGTGGATGGACGTGCCATAAGTGTGCAAATCAATAAGCCTTCTTCTTGTTTTAGAGTCGAAGAATTTTGGCAGATAGGAAAAAAGTCCTAATTCTACATCCAAAGATGGAATTCAAACTGCTTTGGGTGAAATTGTGAACATCAAAAAGGTACCAGGAAATTTCAATGGAGATCACTCAGCACGGGAAGACAGAGAATGCTTGTCAACTCTGAGCCCTAAAGGCCCAAGATGTGGAGAGGGTGACAGGTGGAGAAGGACGGTAGGGACAAGAACAGAGAAAAAGGTATCGGAAGAAACTTCACAGCACAAGGCCTAAGGACTCACTTGGGGGTACAAGATAAACTTTGGTTCCAGCCAAGCCTCTGTCATGTATGAAAAACAGCCAACCCACACTGCAGAGTGAGACCCTCTCTCAAACAACAACGCGAAAAACAAACCTGTTGACACGTGCAAGTGAAGAGAACACATGAGCAATAAATTCTCCCTTCTAAACACGAGAGATACTATGAGCATCTTTTAAGTCACTGATAATAGTGTTCATTTATAACTAGTAAAAGTTGTATTGAGTTTTATCTTCATATATATTTATTATAAACCAGTACAATCTTTTAGAAGTCAATTTGCTTATATGAATTAAATTCTTAATTTGTTTTAGATATAGTAACTTCTTTCTTAGAGCTGTGTCAGTAATAATGGTAATCATAATAATGATAGCAGCAGCAGATATTAGATCTCAGCCACCAGTAGGTGCCAGACATTTTTCTAAAGGCCCAGGGTCACATACCTACAAAATTGAGGATCTAGAATTTGGCCTTGGGAAGAGGGCTGCAGAGCCTGTGCTCAGACCTTTCTGTCTTAGCTGTGATAGTGCTCACTATTGCATAGGGAAACTTGAAAGACAAACAAAGTATGTGACCACATCCATTTGTGGGAAACTGTTTTTTTTTTTCTTCGTCTTTTTCATTTTTATCAGTACCGGGCATTGAACTCATGACCGCCTGCTTGTAAGGCAGGTGCTTATGCCGCTGAGCTAAACCCCCAGCCCCATACTGTTTCTTTAAAGAGGAAGGGGATAGGATTGCAAACTGATGGACCTGAGTTTGAATTTTCCTTTTAATACTTACTAGCTGTGTGATCTTCTACAAGTTAGCTAACGTCTCTTTGCCTTATTTAAGTAGGATCATGCCTACTTACAGCTGATGCAATCGAAGCAATGCACTGAAACACCTGCGACATGAAAAGCACTTGATAACAGAGACTGTTATTTTCTACCCCTTTCCCTTATAACCTTCCTTCTTCAGATAAAATAAAGATTAAACTTAGTAGGAGGTTAAGACAAGATTCTTAAAACAGGTGTTGGGAGATCTTGTTGGAACAGTCCTTGGGGTTTTGAACCCCTCTGGTATGTTCAAGGAAAAGAGGAAAGTGACTGTGGAGGCCGTGAGAGCCGGGCCTGAGAAGTCCATAGGTACATTTATATTTGAAAGAGATGTTTGATGGTAGAGAATGAATGGCACACGTCTTTATTTGTTCCCATGGCTGAATCTATTAGGAAACTGTCATTCTGCTTCCTAGAGAAAAGAACAGCAAGAAGGGGCGTTTCTACTCCCTTAACTGAGTGGGGAATTAATGAATGAGGGAACTGACGAACACTGTAAATTTTTGATCTTTCTTTCTTCCTTTTCTTTTCTTTTTTTTTTTTTTTTTGAGTTGGCTCTCTTGTTTCACCTAAGATGTTTTTCTTTAAACTATGTCACTAGTTAGTGAAATTTCCTCTGAAAGGTTCAATTGAAATATAGTCAATTCTATTATGGCTAAATCTGGGTAAAAAGTATATGTGTGTTCCACTTTCATGTGGATTTCAAAAACTTTTCAAATAAAAAGTTGAGAAAGCCCCCACAAATTATGATAGGGAGTAATTTTTATGACGTGTATCAACAGTTTCATATCATCACTATTTACAATAATCAGAAATTATACCAATGCCCTAAAGATGTGAATGACTAACAAAATTCATATAATCAAGAGTATAAAATGTCAATTCATGGAAATATGTGAAGAAGTCATATGAAATGGAAAAATGTATAATTAAAGACTACAATGCATAATTACAGCAATGAAAAAAAGATGCGATATGTATTTACAAAAACAAGTGCATCCTACCCAATTAGGGTAGGAGTATTGCTTTCATTTCTGGGTAAGGTTACCCAAGTTAAGAAAACTAAATAACTAAGTCATGTGTATAATATAACAAATTCCCTTTGCTAACTTGATCTACACCAGAGGACAGAATGGTGAGGGAAAATTCTCTAGTGAAAAAAAGCACCAATTATCATGCTGATATGCATGATCCTTTTGTATGAGTTAATTTGAGATAGATCAGAATACCCAGCACACATCTGGGAAGACAGTTGCTAACCATCTTCACAAATACTTTGTGTTTGGAAATATAAAAACTCACCAAATCACTCAGCATTTAAAATTAATAACATCCTCATCATCTTGTGGTTTAAATGATGACTGAATAATAACTCAAGCTAGTTATGCCCTATATTTCCTTTATTAATATAATTAGTATTCTTAGATCTGTTTAAATTGCTGTATCTAGCTGTGGGGGGAAAAGATTTCAAAAGATTGACTACATATGCTGATTCAAGATATGATTTCTCATACATCCAACCTCTGTAATTTTTGGATTATAGAGTAATAATATAGGGTAATTTTGGCATCAGTTCTTTGGCAATATTGTTTAAAAATAAAGGTACTCTGAGGCACAGCCCAGATTTTTAAATTTGCATTGCACACTAATACTTTTATTTAATATAGGCATCATCCTCTTACTTTAGAAAGGAAAGATCACTTAAGAATATGGCAGTTAAGACACGCAGCTCATTCAATAACGCACAGCCAAGTAGAGTTTGAACAAACCTCACAATGTTAAAATCCAAACTGTATAAACTTCATGAAACTTTTAACCCAAACATTAAGTTTTCTGGCATTGCATTTGGGGGTCTCAATGTAATAAAGGAGAATTAAGAAATAATATTTGATAAAATGTTTTGCCGTGTCTAAAATGATCTGAGTGGTAAACCTGAGTATAAAATTCATGGGGTGAGTTTGAACAAAATATATAGTTTTCCTATGATTCAAATTTGCTGTACCCCAAAATGAGAAAAAAATGATTTCTAAATTTAAAAAAATGACAAACAAGAAAATACTAGGCAGAGTATCAATTACTGCACACACATCTATCATCTAGAAATTGTTTTCTTCAAATAGATGCATTTTAAAAGCAACCTTTAGTCATACAGTCACTTTTGTCCAGTTTAAGCTCAAGCCTTAGGGCTAATTATATATGACAGAAATTTCGCTAACAAAACTGAGGTATTTTAGTTTAAAAGCTACTCAAAACAATTATACTAACAGTGAAAATCATATTTACAGAAGCCAATAAAAAACCCCACACACTTCCAAGGGAAACTTTCATCTTGAAAAGGCACTAAAATACACATCCTGGATAAACAGTGTTTGTAAGATTAAAGAAAAAGCCCAGAACTCCAGTAATGTAAAGGACTCAGTTACCCTGAATTAGAATGAAAAATAAAATTCAGTTCCTCCTCCTCTTCCCCTGATAAAACAAAACAAAACAGTAAACCACACAAAACCAGGAAACAACCAGCTCAGAAGGCACTGGTTTACCTGTTCGGTGCCCGTCAGAGTAGCTTGGTAGGTGTGGGGTATGCAGCTGAGGCAGGTTTATGAATGAGAGGACTGGGGGCTTGGGAAATTGTGCACGAGACAGACCCTACCTTGTACAGACTTCCCAATACTGTGTAAGTAAGTGATAGAACTGTAGTTTTGGGCAACACTCTTCAAAAACGCTTCCATCCCTTCCTGGTGGTGGTATTTGAAATCCAGCGCCGCTACCAAAGGCAGCAGAAGCGCTAGCCACAGGCACGCGAAGTCCATGTTCTGGAGGGGAATGGAAACGAGAATAAAGCTGAGAACAGACTAAGGAAGGTGGGGGCATTCGCAGGTCGCTCAGCACTTGGATCGCACAGTTTAGACACCCACTCTGCCTGCTTCCCAAGGAGGTCAGCGTTGGAAGTCAGTGCAGTGGGCGATCCAAGGACCAGCAGCTGTCAGTGCTTCCACCCGGCCGCCGGCCTCTCCCGCTCCGCTCCTTCTCCCTCCTCCCAGCAATTCTGCCGCCCGCCGCCCCCAGCGCCACATCTCACCGGGCTCAGGCGCGCTTCTCCGCGAGCCCGCGGCCGCCGGCCCGGGCCGCAGTTATAGCTCGGTCAGGGGGCTGGCGCTCCCGGGCCCCGCCCAGCAGCCGGCGGACCAATCGGATGCCAGTAAATCCTGGGCGGGGCCTCGCCACCTTCGCACCTGGGAGGGCCGCGGGGGTCCAGGGTGCAGCTGCCTGCGCAGGTGGGCGGCTGGGCTGGGCATGGCCGGACCCTGAGCGGCCTCTCGCGGACTCTGCCTCTGCTGGCGTCCCAGGTGGGACTTGTGTCTTGGTATCGGCCATGGCTGCGCCAGAGAGGAGGCTCCACGGCTAGGATCCGCAGGGATGCTCGCGGACAGACTCCCGAGCCTGCAATTAATTGCAAGTGTGTGTGTGTGTGTGTGTGTGTGTGTGTGTGTGTGTGTGTGTGCGCGCGCGTGTGTTTTAAATGCTATGAAATGTCAAATGTCAGAAAATTTCCGACAAATTTTCTTCTTACCTGCGACCTGACCAAATCAAAGTTGAATTGGAGGCGTGTTCACAGGGAAAAGAAAGCAGAGGCACGGTTGCAAATCCGATCCAGCCATTCCTAGGTCGGTTTCAGTTCTCTCCCCTCAAAATGCTGTTTGTGGAAGCACGGGGTGGTCTGTGTTTGCACCAGGGAGAATACAAACCGCGGAAATCCGGGAGGTGGGTTGTGGCGTGGGCCACCCTGCACTGAAAGACACCACACACATACACACGGTGGATTGCAGGAGTACTGTCGGGTAATAAGGACCATGCAGGGGTAAAGTGATACAGAAAGTTTGAAACCGCTGGCTTGAAGCAACATGCTTCTTTATCAGTCTGTGAACAAATGTTAAAATTTAAATGTATTATTCCTTGCTAAGAATTTATGTCACAGAAGTGATTTGAAGATGTACTAAATGTATATTATGTGTGTTAGAAGCTTCAAAAGCACTACTGTTTTAAATTGTGACAAAACAGAAAACCGAAAAGTCAAACAATGGCAAGTTTGTTAGATCAGCGGTTCTCAACTAGGGGAAGTATTGTCCACAGGAGACAATTGGAAATATCTGGAGACATTGTTTGTCATCACAATTTGGGGAAAGATGCTACTGTATCGCGTACTGATACGGTGATAAAACCCATACAATGAACATTGCTACCTCCCACAACAAAGAATTTCCTAGCCTTAAATGTCAATAGTATTGAGGTTGAGACATTCTGGTTTAGATACAGAATATTATAGTCATACAATAAATTATTTTCCAGCAATAATAATGATGATACAGGACAGTATCTGTTGATAGATACATCATTCAGTGAAAAAAAAAGATAATAAACGTAAAAGTAGATTTCCTCATACTTTGTAAAAGTAGCAGATTCCCTCATACTTAAATTATTCTTAGTACAATGTTTCAAAGGTTATAGACATGATGAATGGTAATCCTTGGGGTACATTTCTTTAATTTTTAATCTTTGTATATTTTCTGAGCAAAAGTTCCACTAAATGTGTTACACTTAATAAACAGGAATTTTTATCTAAAAGAGCAGAACAAAAAGCATAGATCTACTAGATACAAACAGTTCTAAATGAAGACACGATCTAAAATATCTTTATAGTGAACTACAGAACTGAAGAGGATGTAAAGGTCACTGCAAAATGAGATATTAAGGAACTAAAAAGCTAAAGTATTGTGCCATTTGTTCCTACTTAAGGACTTGGAAATTTCTTGAGATAGTAGCAAGAATTGGAATAAAGGGCAAAAATTACAGCGAGGGACCAAATACCTTAACAGATGTTAACAAGCATGGAAAGAACAATATAACTAGCCTTTGCAACTTTTAAACTTTCCCTTTTTGTGGGAAGTTTCAAAGAAAAATATGAATAAGTAGGAGGAAAATTTAAAAGTAAAATTTTTCTGAGTTGGAAATAATCATTCTTAGAACAAATTTAGGTTAACCAGAGTCTAATATTATATATCTTTTTGTGCTACTTAACAAACACATATAGCATATCTATCCAAATCTTTGAGCATATCCTTAACTCCTTGCAATCAGTTCTTAGATATGAAATTGCTATGTAAAAGAACATATACAATTTTGAGACTTAAAATATTTTGCCAAACTATGCTCTTACACAGGAGCATAAATTTTCAACCTGCTAAAAATAGTTCTCATATATACAAGGGAAGCACAGGACATGTTTTTATTTTCATTTATTTTTTTCTCCCTTCCTTTTTTATTAGTTTATGATATCTAATAAATGTATCCATTGCCAACAAGTTAAGAAGATTGGTTCAAAGACAGATGCAGGTGTAAGAAAAAAGAGAATACTAAAATTATTCTAAAATATGCTAAACAAGATGAACTTGATTAACGTCTTATAGGGCAATAAACCATGGCCTTCGGTACTATCTCTTTATAAGAAATCACTTTCGGGGCTGGGGATTTAGCTCAGCGGCATAAGCGCCTGCCTTACAAGCAGGCAGTCGTGAGTTCGATCCCTGGTACCGAAAAAGACAAAAAAAAAAAAAAAAAAATTAAAGAAATCACTTTCATATATGCAGGACAAAAATTACTTCTGTATCTATTAAGCAAAAATATGAGCATCTTACCCATTTTTTACAGGTTAACAATTATACCTGCAAAACATGCAAATCAACAATAACAATTTGAAGTTCAGTTTACCTCGCAACAATTGACCCTTAGGTGAATTTTTTTTTTTTTCTTTCTCATATTTAGAGTTACCAGGGATCGAACTATGACAGCCTGTTTGCAAGGCAGGCACTTATGCCACTGAGCTAAATCCACAGCCCACCTTAGGTGAATTTTTAAAGGAAGTATCCTAGCATGAAAGCAAAAGCTGAGTAATCATATTTTGGCCTCTAAGTTTTGGATATTTTTTTCCTGTCAAAGGTCACCTCAATTTATAGTGCTTGCTACTATATATGGAAGAGTCTTCATAACCCCTCACATCTCACCATCCTTAATTGATACATTAAAATCTTTTCAATTATTTGCCAATTTCATAGATGAAAAAGTGGAATCTCACAATTTTTTTGTTTTTGAGGCAGGTTCTCACTATGTAGCCTCAGCTGGCCTTGAGTTCATGGTGATCCTCCAGTCTTAGCCTTCCGAATGCTGGGATGCACTAGTCACGTCAGGTGGAATCTCACAATTGTAAACTGTATGTGCTTTATTAGTAATGTGACTGAACACTCTTCTTTTATGTGTATTGACCATTTGTTATTCCTCTTTTAAAACATAGTCTATTCCTATCTTTTGCTCATTTTCTGGCAGTATATTAATCTTTTCCTTTTTAATCATAGATTTTGATCTATTTTTATAAAGAATTATTCTTAAATTATGCATTTTATTAATTTGATTTTCTTCTATTTCTTTGATATTTTTTATATTTGATTTTCCCCCTTTTTCCTGGTCTTACTTAAAAAATTAGCTAATTTTTTATGAGCACTTTTAGGTTTGCCAAAAATGTGAGTGAAATGTATGGAGAATTCTCATTTACTTACTGTCTTAGTTTATTTCCCTGAGATTTTTTTTTAAATTTTTTTTTGTCTTTTTCCTTTTTATCGGTACCAGAGATTGAACTCACGACTACCTGCTTGCTGAGCTAAACCCCCAGCCCCTATTTCCCTGAGATTTAATACCTGACACATAAACTTAGAGGAAAGGTTTATTTCAGCTCACAGTGTGTGGATGTCTCAGTCGATAACTGGCTGGCTCCAAAGCAAGGTGGCCTGGCAGAGGGGCATCACAGAGTAGAAACAGTTCATAGCATGAAAGGCAGAAGGCAGCAAAGCGGCAGCAGCAAGTGATGCCAGTAACTCTCTTTCTGTGCCTTAGATTCCATTTAGCACCCTTAATCTCAGCCTCTCACCATTAATTCCAGCATCATGTACCCCAGATCCAGCCAGATCCAAAAAGCCCCACCTATGACCACATGAGGCTTTGGGGGGACACCCAGGTACAAGCCATAACACATACTCTTTATGACTCCCATCCTGTACACAGCTTTTCCTGTTATTATCATCTGCACTAGTGTGGTATATTTGTTATATTTCTAAACCAGTGTTAATACATTGTGATTTACAAATTCATATTTTACATAGGCTTTACTTTTTGTGTTATACAAACCATGAATTTTGGCTATTGTCTGTTGATTATATCCACCCTTACAGTATTATTCAGCATAATGTCACTGCTCTAAAAGTCCTCTACTTATTCCTCTCATTTTTCCCACATTTATTATCTACTTATTTGTCTATTTTTGAGATCAGGTCTTACTATGTTGCCCAAGCTGGCTACGAACTCTTAGGCTCAACCTCCTGAGTCACTGGGATTGTAAGTGCCTGCAACTATGCACAGCCTCACTTTTTAAATGAGATATTCTACAAAAGTGTCTGCAAAGCAATAGGTAAAAGATGATCTTTTAACAAATAATACTGTGATAATTGGAATTCCATGTGGGAAAAAATGTAGCTTGACTTCAGTTGACCCCATAGATACAATCGATCCCATAGACAAATCTGGGTTGATTGTAGATCTAAATGTGAAGGGCAACAGCATAAAAAAAACCCATAAAAGCATCTTGATGATCTTAGGACAGGCATGGATTTCATAAATGAGACTGAGTGAAAAGGTGTTAATAATTGAGAAAAACGCCTGGTAATTTTTGCTATGCTAACTTACAGAGCATTGTTAGCCAAAAGACAGTTTTCTGAAAGTAAAAAATGTAAGCTCTTGAGTACAAAAATGCACCACATACAACAGTCCTAGAGCTTGCATCTTGAACACATAAAAACTTTTTGTCAAATCAACAAGAAAACTACAGATAATCCAACAAGAAAGTGGAAAACACCCTTTAAAAGACATTTTACAGTGTTTAAATAACATGAAAAGATGCTTGACATTATTAAAAGCTACAAGACATTAATTAATACTCCAAAGTACATGTACCATAACCACAAAAATATCTAAGCTTCCATATTACATACTCCAAACTCACAAAAATAGCTAAACTTATGGCAAAAA